ATCTCGAAGTCATATACTCTGATGTATGTGGACCAATTCAGGTGGATTCGATGAGAGGTAACAAATACTTTGTTACATTCATAGATGATTTCAGTCGAAAGCTATGGACTTACCTGATCAAGAAGAAAAGTGAAGTGTTCGAAGTATTTATCAAGTTCAAGTCCATGGTCGAAAGACAAAGTGGTCAAAAGCTCAAAGTTTTGAGAACTGGTGGTGGAGGAGAATATGTGTCGAAAGATTTCGACAGATTATGTGAAAAAGAAGGGATTGTGCATGAGGTGGTGCCACCCTATACTCCACAGCAAAATGGAATTGCAGAAAGGAAAAATCGAAACATCATGAACATGGTGAGAAGTATGTTGAAAGGCAAGAATTTACCCAAAGAGTTCTGGGGTGAAGCTGTTTCGACTGCAACATACATTTTGAACAGAAGTCCTACAAAGAAGCTAGAAGGAATTACTCCAGAAGAATGTTGGTCTGGTGTGAAGCCTAGCTTAAGTCATCTGAAAGTATTTGGATCTATTGCACATAGACATGTGCCAGATCAGTTGAGAAAGAAACTTGATGACAAGTCAAGTCAAATGATCCTAGTTGGATATCATTCGACAGGAGGCTACAAGTTGTTTGATCCAGAGAACAAGAAGATTGTGATCAGCAGGGACGTGATCATAGATGAGTTCAAAGAATGGGATTGGACTGCAAATGTCAAGAAAGATTCAGTGGGAATCTTATTCGAAGAGCCAGAAACTCAAGTCGAAAGAGAAGTTCGACAAGAGGAGCCAGCAAATATACCCAGTACAAGCAGACCTCAAAGAACAAGACGCATGCCTGCAAGATTGCAAGATTGTGTGATTACATCAGATGATGTAATAGATGATGAAGGTGAGCTGGTACATTATGCTTTCTATGCAGATGTCGAACCTGTTAATGCAGCTGAAGCATTAAAGGATTCGAAGTGGGTGAAAGCAATGAACGAAGAAGTAAAGTCTATCGAAGACAACAACACTTGGTCACTTGTCGAATTGCCTCAAGGCAAGAAGGCAATTGATGTCAAGTGGGTATACAAAGTGAAGACGAATTCGAAAGGTGAAATAACTCGACACAAAGCAAGACTTGTGGCGAAAGGATTTCTACAGAAAGAAGGAATAGACTTCGACGAAGTTTTTGCACCTGTTGCTAGGATCGAAACAATCAGGTTGGTTGTTGGTCTAGCAGAAATCAACAGTTGGCACATATGTCAGATGGACGTGAAGTGTGCATTCCTAAATGGACCCTTAGATGAAGAAGTCTATGTTAAACAACCAGTTGGGTTTGTGAAACATGACGAAGAAAGAAAGGTGTACAAGCTACATAAAGCCCTGTATGGTTTGAAACAAGCTCCAAGGGCTTGGAATAAGAAAATTGATAGTTTTCTAAGGGAGAAGGAATTTGAGAAGTGCATAACTGAACATGGAGTATATGTAAGAAGAAGCAAGAGTAAATTGCTTATACTATGTCTCTATGTAGATGATTTGTTGATAACAGGTAGCTGCAAGAGTGAGATCGAAGACTTCAAAGTTGATCTCAGCAAGGAATTTGAAATGTCTGATTTGGGTGAGATTTCATATTTCCTTGGTATCGAATTCCACAAGAGCAGTAGAGGTTTGATGATGCATCAAAGAAGATATGCAGGAGAAATTCTCAAGAGGTTTGAGATGGAAGAATGCAACTCAACTTCGACACCTGCAGAACCAAGACTGCAACTGTCGAAAGATGCAGATGAAGATGATGTTGATCCAACCCAATACAGAAGACTTATTGGATCATTGAGATACCTTTGTCATACAAGGCCTGACTTAGCGTACAGTGTAGGTATGGTAAGTAGATTCATGCAGAAGCCAAAGGTATCACATCTAGCAGCTGTGAAGAGGATACTAAGGTATCTCAAAGGAACTTTCGATTATGGCATTTTGTTTCCTGCAGTTGATAAAGGAAAAGAATGCAAGTTAGTGGGATACACTGATTCGAGTTGGTGTAGTGATGCTGAAGATCGAAAGTCAACAGCAGGATATGTGTTTATGCTAGGTGGTGCAACAATTGCTTGGAGTTCGAGAAAAGAACCAGTAGTGGCATTATCATCATGTGAAGCAGAATACATAGCTGCTTCTCTTTGTGCATGCCAAGCAACCTGGATGGTGAACTTGGTCGAAGAGATAACAGGGAAAAATCATGGAGCAATTACCATGAAGATAGACAGCATGTCAGCTATCAACCTGGCAAAGAACCCAATAGCACATGGTCGAAGTAAGCACATCGAAATGAGGTTCCATTATCTTCGAGAGCAGGTAGCAGATGGGAAGATGAATTTGGAACACTGCAGAACTGAGAATCAGATTGCAGACATCATGACAAAGGGAGTACAGGTCGAAGTATTCAGAAAGCTAAGGGCCATGATGAACATAGACAGTTTAGACACAATGAATTAGGTGGTGTGTTAAATTGTAATTCATAGGTGTCAAAAGAAGATTTGATTTATTTAGATTTAAATAGATTTGAATTTAAATCTAGATTAGATTTGATTTAGTAAAGAGATATTTTGGGCTTGGGTTTAGCTTAGGGAGCAAGCTAACCTAAATCTATAAATAAGAGGGAGTAACCCTTATTTTGTAATTAAGTCATTGAAGTCATTCACAGTATTTTGCAGTTGCAAAGTGAATTAATAAAGATTCCACAGTTTGTGGGCAGAATAGAAATTCTGCAGAAATATCTCCATTGTTTTTTTTATTTGTTTGTTTCATAACTTATCATCAAGTGGTGGTCGAAATTCATCATAGTGTATTGGTGGATTTCCAACACTGAAATGCAACTTTTGTTTGCCATGAAGCACAGCACATGAAAATAAATTGGGCCTATGTGATTCTACGTCACATGGAATACTCAAAAGGTTTGATAAGTGGTTATCCTTATACAAGAGGAATTATAAAAAAAATTGGAAACATGTGGGATTAGTTTGCATCTAGAACCTTCTAAGAAAATGGGAAAGACAAGCGTAATCACGAGTAACACTTGCTTGAAAAACATGGGAATCTTCAAAGATGTTGATGGAATCTATAAGCATACTGATGCGGATAATGTTTATGCACCTCCTTCCGCTCTCGAAGGTGGATACACTCTTGAGCTTATTTACAACAAGTTGCATGAAATGGATATTCGTCATTCATCCGAGCTTCATGCTCTCCGCCTTGACATGAACCTTCTCAAGCAACAAAACCGTCATCAAAGTGAAGGAGAAGAAGATGAAGAGGAAGAGGAAGAAGGTGAAGAAAAGAATAATGAGATGCATGAAAGTGACTAATATGTTTATGTTTTCTTCTATATTAGTCTATGTTTAAGTTTATGTTATTTTTATTTTTTTTCTAAAACAATGTGGTTTCCTTGTTGTGTTGTTTAGTTGCTAAAGACTTAGTCTATTATGCTATGATTTCAAGTATCTTGATTGTTAATTGTGCTGTGTTTAGTTTATACTTTGTTTGATAGTTTATGCTTCATGTTTATATTTTTAAACTTTTCCCTTTTTTTTTGCTAATGACAAAGGGGGAGAAGATATTATGTTACGATATTTGTGTGTATTTATCTAGCAATTTTTGCAGCAAGCCTTACAATGTCAAAAACTCTAATTCATGGATCAAAGAGATAACATGGATCAAGGGGGGTTATTTGTGTTAGGGGAGAATTAACCATAAAACTTCAATTGTTTGTCATTATAAAAAAGGGGGAGAGTGTGAAGTCAAGACTCTCCATCCAATATATTTTGATGAAGACAAAGTGAAAATCAAATGATCATGTCAAAGAGTTTGGAAAAAGCTTCAAGTGTGTTTTATCAATTCAAGTGTGTTTTGCATGCATAACATGTTTTTACTAAAGTTACAAAATAATTATGTACTTCTGTCAAATGTTTTTTCAAAATTCAGTACAGGAAATCGATTACCCTGTTTTCAAGAATCAATTTTCCCTTCGTGTTCCAGCCTGCATGTCTTTTCTGGAAAACAGTTTTTAGGCATGAAAATTGATTACCCCACTTTTGGAAATCTATTTCCCTCATGAAATTTTGAATTGCTAGTTGCATCGCTTCAGGTGAAATCAATTACCCTCTTTTCCAAAATCGACTTCCATATGAGGCAGTAGCTATTTCAATTCTGTTTTGAATCTGAACGTTTTACAAAAGTCATTCGTTAATCATTGCTTCTTTTCATTAATTCACACACTTTCATAGAGGTGTTAAGGTGTTATATATGTTCTACATTTTCAGATTTAAAACTCACCTCTTCCATTGCAATTTGAAATCATATACTCATTCATTTTCAAATACGTGTTTTGATTCTTGAAATTTCATAGATAATTTTTCTACATTTGTTTCCATATCAGTCCAGAAAAATTTATCTCATATTCATAAACACTTGAGCACTAATATATCTTTATAAATTACTTGTTTGAAAGGGAAGATTAATCTTAGTGATTGATACATATTCATCTATGTTCTTACTTCATATTTTTTTCATATTTGGTTGTAAATACCTTGTTGTCCAGGATTATTGGAAGAAAGAGAGTTGAAAGTGATAGGATTGTTCTCATTTCAACTTAGTTGTTCACAAGAGGATTGTTTTTGTGACTGTGTTGGTTTTCGTATTGAAAGGTGATTGGAGTACCTTCAAACTGTGAAGAAAACCAGTATAAATCCTCGTGTTATTTATTTTTTTGTATTTTTTTGCTTTCATAACATCCCCATAAACCATAAAAATAAGTCCTTCATCACTAAAAACTGATAAAATTTTAAAGTGTTCAATTCACCTCCCTCCTCTTAGACGCACTCATTACTTACAACTAACTCCCTAAACTAATACAAGATAACACCGAATTGAGAATATGAAAATGACAATATTTGAAGATTAAATATGAAATATTTTAAATAATAGTAATAGAAATGTATATATTTCATATTATAACAATAATAATAATATTACTCAAATAACATTGTGATGAAGAACTTTCTTGATTAACTTATGAAAATTATTATATGATGATCCTCCCAATTCAGTAGATTCTTCAGATTTCTTCTTCCACTCTAAACTCTTTCGTCTAATTTCTTTTCCCTTTTCTCCCTTCAACATTTCCAACACAAGTGTTGTTATTTCTTCCCTTTTCACATCATGGTTAATTTCCATCCCTATCCTCCAATTGTGACATAAATACCTACTATTTGTTTGTTGATCTGCAAAGAAAGGCCAACAAATAGTTGGCACACCATAAGAAATAGTTTCAAGTGTCGAATTCCAACCACAATGAGTTAGGAATCCCCCGATTGATGGATGAGTAAGCACTTCATCTTGTGAGCACCAATTAGTTATGTATCCTCTATCTTTAATCTCATCTAGAAACTCTTGAGGTAAAGTGGTGGTTTCACCCATTACAACATCTGGCCTCATTATCCATAAAAATGGTAAGTTGCTATTTGCTATTCCCCAAGCAAACTCTTTTAAGTGATGATCACTCATAACAGCTATACTTCCATAATTAATATATAATACTGAGTAAGGTTCCCATTTATTCAACCATTTTATGCTTTCTGGGTCAATTTTCCATAAACTAGAACCAATTGCTTTAAAACCATTTTCTTTCTCCGGAAAATGCTTACCAAGCATGTGAATTGGACCAATATTGTATATGTTTGAATTTTGTGCCCTAAGGATCTGAAGAGCTTCATCTTCCAATTCTTCAAATGTGTTAATGATGATTACTGATGATCTCAAACAATTTTGTACTTCAAAATTCAAGAAATCGAACATAATATCATTTAAATCAGTAACTCTTATGAAACTTGGAAGATCTTTTAGTCTGATGCCTTTCATTCCAGAGATCCAATCTAAACTTATTTCCAAATTGCTATCCACAATAAATTTTTCATCTAAAAATTTGACAAAAAGAAGTTATTCAAGTAAAAACATTTTCATTTTCATTTGTTACTTATTTTTCATTTATATGCAAAGAGGGAAATATTAATTAGGTGAATACTTATACACTCTTAAATTTAATAGAGTAGACATTCATTATTCAATTAAATAATATTATTCAATACTATATCGGTTTTAAATATTACCCTATTTTAAAAATAAATTAAAATTTTAAATTAATTATTATTAAAAATATTGGTATTCAATCAAAACTTTAAATTTGTCAAAAAGATAAATTTTGTATTTTTCCTTTTTAATCAAAAAATAAACATCACATTAACCACACAAATGAAAATGTCTAGGTAATTAATAATTTTTAGATTTAATTGCAACTTAGATCTCTTATTATTATGTTTATTTATTTATTTTGGTCCCTTCATTTTAAAAATTAATCTTTTAATTCTTCTATTTTTTTTTTATAAAGATTTTAGTCCCTCTTTAAAATTAAGAAAATTTGTAAATGGCATGACGCTCATTTGACTTACGCTTTTTTCCAAATCATCATTAAATTTATTCAACTAATTTATTTTGTTTTTTATTTAAGTTAATCTAATTAAATTTATCCTATCTGTCGTTTGTAAAACTTTTATTTTTTGAATTATTAGGTTTAATTGTAAAATTTTTAAAATAAGATTAAGTGATATGTCATTAAAAAATACTCTCAATTTTAAAGAGAGACTAAAATCTTAAAAAAAAACAAAAAACAAAATAAAGAGATTAAAAAAAACTAGTTTTAAAAATGGAGGGAACAAAATTAAAAAGAAAAAAGAAAAAAAAGAAAATCAAAATTGTACTTAAACCTGACTTTTAACTTTATACTTTAGTTTGTCTAGTCTAGTCAATAAAAGACAAGTGGTACTATGGTCCAATTCTAGAAACATTAATAAGTGAGGACCACATTTAGGAGACAAATTTAATAGACGGTAAACTTGAATAAAATGATTTTTATCTACTAAATTTACATTTTAACATATTTTTATCCATAAAATTCCAAAACTATTTTATTACTCATAGATCTACCTAAAGCTTTTATCTACGTTATATAAAGTTATCAAGTTAGAGATGATTTTATGGCCAGATTTTCCCCAACTCCATGATGATTCTGTGCAGTTTTAGTTGTATGTAATTCAAATTCCTTACAACTTTAATTTAGATTTCATAAAATTTAAGTTTTGAAATTTGGTTAATATTTTTAATTCCTTACAACTATTTTATTACTCATAGATCGATATTTTTTTTCTTTCATTTATATACATTTTTACTTTAGTTGCATTGTAACCCCAAAAAAAAGTTATATTTTCTATCCTTTTTTTTTATTCTAACAAAACCCCGTGAAAAAGAAAAACTTGAAAAGCTCTTCCATATATTTCATTTTTACATTTACAAATTTGTGATATTATAGATTACTTTATGGAATGAGAAACGTAGTGATAAAAAAAAAACCAGAAGTTCGGTCCACATCACAACATTAAACTTAACAATATTAACTTTTTTAATAAAAAAATAATTGTGGAGTTTACGGCAATTTTTGTGGTGTATATATTGTGTGTAGTCAATTATCATTTAATTTAATTTGGACATTAGGAAAAAACACCAATCATCATAAAAAAAATCCTTTTCAGAATTAATTTATAAATCAAAAGCATACATTTTTTAAAAAAAATCCAATATAAAAAAAGAGAGATACTAGTTTAATTTACCTTTGAATGGAATAATTCCTCTTTTGATAAGTTCATCAAATTGCAAATATGCCACAAAGGAACAAGTAGAAGATGTCCAAAACTGTAGCTCTTGAATGCCCAAATCTTTTGCCACACTTCCAGCAAAGCCCATAATGCCATCAGCAATTATGCAAGTAACTGGATATGGTGATGAAGTGTTGAGCTTAATCACAAGTTCTTTCAAAGGGCCATAACAGTTTTTCCTAGTTGAGTCACACAAAGTTGGAATATCCTGTGTTGCATCCTTATCTGATTCTGGCAAACCATCAGGTATGGTCTCAAATTGAAAATCTGGGAGACCTTTCACAAACTCTTCTCCAAGAGATTTTATCAAACGTTTGTGGTTGAACTCTGTGTTGACAAAGGTTATGTGGAAACCATTGCAACGGAAGAGTTTAGCTAATTGCATGAAGGGATTCACATGACCCTGTGCTGGAAATGGTACAAATACAGCATGAGGCTTTTGGGTATGTTTTGGAGTAGACTCCATTTTTGTTCAAGTATGTGAATTAATAGGAGATGGAAAGACTTGTAGAATGGGGATGGTTTAGCTTTCCCCTTCTTTCCAATGTATATATAATAGTACTAATCTTAGAAGGAAGAAGTAATTTATGTGTTTCCTTTTGAAGAAATATTGATAAAAACAAATAAATTCTATATTATATTTGAATACTGATAAATTTAATTAAAATATATTTATTAATAAATTAATATAAGAAATAATATAAAATTAAATGTATATACATGTCCTACTATCCGTAGGTTTTAGTAAAGCATTTCACTCTAAGTCGGTTCATGGTTGCAGGACTCTATATATGTTTGACATCTCGATACATCTTAGAAAAGTATTTTATCGTTATAAGGTTCATGCTTGTGGGTTGTATATAATTTTGAGATATTGGGTCAGATTGTCAAAAGTGGGTCGGATTGTAACCCAAAGTCAATATGATCTAGCCCAAAATATAGCTCATCCAATATAACAAGGTCGAGTTTAAGGCAGTCGATGGATCATACTGATCATGTCGGCTCAAAACTAATACATAGGAAATATTTAAATTAAGATACTAGAGGTAACATATTTATGGTTGATTGATAACATTATGATTCAACATCGGACAATAAAATCTTATTCCAATTATCATTAAGATATCAGACTAATTAAAGTCAACCACCTTAAATGATTCTTAATGGACCTTTAGTACGAAATTGGTCAGACTTACTGTATAAGGAGATGCTCATTATATATATATATATATATATATATATATATATATATATATATATATATATATATATATATATATATATATATATATATATATATATATATATATATATAATTCAAAGAGCATCTCACTTGATGTGCATTTAACCGAGACAAAAACAAATAGAAACATGAGTGCTCTGCTAGGGTTTAGAAAAACCCTAGAACCTGATAACGGCAAGTCTACTAAAGAGACTAATCAGTTGGCTCCTAGCACTAGACGAGCAAAGGTTAACGATGGAGGGGATGAAGTTGCAGAGGAGATTGCAGAAAAAGGAGTGGAAGACTCAGCGATGAATGAATCACATGCAGAAGAACGACGTCAAACTAGCAAATCATATAAAGACATGGTTCTAGGAGTGGATGGAGAATAGGAAAAAGATGATGGGATAGGGAAATATGACCGTGATAGTGATGAATAGGAAGAATGGGATACTACCGTAGATGTAATACGAGTTGAGGATAAAAAAGTTAGTGCCTATGACTGTCCTTTGTTTATCATGTCCAAAGCTGAGGAGACAAGAATTCATAGACCATGGAAAAGAGGACTTATAGTGAAACTTTTGGGGAGAAGAATTGGCTATAAGGTATTAGAAACAAGACTGAAACAAATGTGGGTTTAAAAATAAATAATAAACATTATTGACCTTAGTAATGATTATTATCTTGTCACTTTTTCCCATGACCAGGATCATGCTATTGACATTAATGAATGGGTCGTGGTTTATCTATGATCACTACCTCACAGTGAAAAAATAGAGTCCAAACTTTCATCCTCAAAGAGACTCTGAAACAACCGGCCGAATAATCATCGAATATAAATTCAATCAAGGTGCCATCGAATGTCTTTTATCCCGCCGAAAGGGAAAGGTGAATATCGAGTAAACCTGAAGGGGTGAAATCACGGTCTTGTGATCGTAGAGATCGAGTAAGGAAGTCGGTTACGCGAGGGAGCACCACACATGTCTGTAGTACTCCACAAGATCCACTTATGTTTGTTCTAATCTAAGGGTGTGTAAAATCTATGTCTAAAGCTTAAAAGCTAAAAAGAAAGATGCAAAGAGAGAATGCATGCAAAAGTGAAAACACGGGGAAAAGAAGGAAAGATTACAAATTTCGCTCGGCTGAGCCCCGTGACCAGATGCCTACTCCCTTTTAAGGAATCAGAGCGGCATAGTTCGGCTCACATTTTTCTGTTTGTTTGTATTTTTTATATGAACAATGTTAACTTCAATCATTTCACTGCCGCTCGACCATTGGAGACTCATGCACTGTAGTGGAAAGGAATCAATCATGTTCTTAGAAGAGAAAAGACGAATGGCGAAAAGAAATGAATTAGTTGGTGTTTTTTACCATGAAAAGGATTTTTATATGGTTAGCACGTTTTATACGTTTACCAAGAAAAAGTAGTTTTAGTCTTAAATGCAAATATGCAAAAGAAAAGAAAAACAACTAGGGGAGAATATCTTAATCTCTAATCCTAATGTGATCATACAAATATGGCCCTACGTCTAGGATGAAAGGGAATGTCTACCTAAGTGGACATACATGGATCTCTATCCTAATGTCTAGCTCGAGGACTAACCTAAACGAGCAATCCTAAGGGAGCATGGTAAATATCTCATAAAAGAGACGCAAGGGAAGTCATACTATCATAAGAGAAAGTACGAGAATGGATGACGAAACATCCAACGGGAGATGGAAAAACATCACAGATCCTGTGACAAAAAAATCAAACAAACAGATGGCAAAACATCTGAACAAACAAAAGCTTAAGCATAACCCGGATATCAAACACCTACAAGGTACATGCTGAGTAGTAAAAGGGGAGGTCTCGCCATAGACAAGCAACCAAGCATTAGACCAAGGATCAAGCCATAGCTAAGGGGAGCGAATCATCCGAGTCAACTAAGCCATAAAATTGTGGGAATATAATTGGTTCTTAACAATGGTATCAATTACATGGGTAAGAAAGATCTGGGGGAAAGACAAAATGTACGCATACACTGAGCATCAGTGTCGGTCAACACGAGCTAAAGAAGATCTGGGGATCTGATTGCAAGAATCCTTTTTACTAGCCTTAATAGGGCTTGGATTCATTCAGATCCTGGGAATATGTTCGGATAATTTACTTGTAAAAAGTAAGCATAGGAACGACACAGACGAAGGACTGCAGGGGTTGATTACTAACCCTCTCCACTTGACTACTCACGAGGACTTAGGAATGGTTGCCATAAAAGGACCTAAACCCATCATCCCACTATGTAAGCACAGATAGTAAACAAACAAATACATGGCCTCCTAGTGAGGACTTCCAGAATTGCCTGCCAAGTGGCACGAACTCCCAATGCTAAGTGTGGTGTGGTGGGAGAACTGACTTGGGTGTTTTGCGTTTTATCGCAAATGTTGCGCTTAGCAATAGTCGCCACCGACTTTTATTTTATCCAAAAGGAAAGGTGAAAAAGCACAGGAAATACCTTTGAGATTATTTCTTGAGTTCGGGGGGTAGATTATGAAAAGGGAAGGTATTAGCACCCTTTTCATCCATGGTTTTCCATGGGCTCTTAGTTACTTTCTAGATCACTTGCTTTTGTTTGAAATTATGCTTTGTGTGGTTTTGAAAGTATTTTGTAAAAGAGGCCATTGTTTAGGCAATCTTTGTAATGATTCTCGTTCGTAAGAATGTATACAAAGATGTTGATCTTTTTGAAAATGTTTTCAATATTTGTAAGATGTTTGGAAATGTGTGTGTTTGTTTCGAAAATAGCGAGGATATTTGTTTTGAAATGGAGCAAGTAACTAAAAGTAATCTACCTACTCAAATGTCTTTCTTGTTCATTTTCTTTTCCTTTGATATTGTTGTCTTACCATTGATTTGGTAGGCAACCCTATCTTTAGATGTAAATGGGACGGGCGCGGGTCATCGTATAGCCATGATTAGGAATGTTGCAAAGTATCTTAGCATTTTTTAGGGACTAAGATCATTTTTGTAAGGCAACTTTGAATAGCGTCATCGAGGGACTATGACCTTGTATTTGTTTGTTTTTGCTAAGATACCTTACATGCGTAACATGGTCATTTTGTATAAGGAAACCAAGTGGAGTAACCCTAGGGGTGCTTGTGTGCAAGTGTCATTTTCATACTTGATTTTGTCTTGAATTAGGGTTTTCTATTTGATTGGTTTTATCTTGCCATACAAACCCTAATTACTAGCATATTATGTAAAAGCGATAAATTGCGAAATTTAAAATTACTACGCTATTACAACACTTGTGGGAGAGGGGTATACAATTTATGAATGGAATTTGCAAGAAAGTAAATCTATTTATCTATTACAACCTTATCAAATTTTAATAAATGTACAAAAACAAATGTAAATATAATGTACAAGAAGTGAGATGAATATAATGTACAAGTATGAATGGATAAAGAATGGATTTTTGTTTTGATTTAATTAACTTTAAAGAAAAATAATTAACTAAAATAAAATAAAAAAATTAAAATTAAGTTAGTAAAAGAAATTAGTTTAAAGAAACAAATTTCTAGATAAATTATAAGTATAAATCTAATCTAATTATTTAATTAATTTTTGGAAAACAAAATGAATTTTAATAGGAAAATGTTTTGGTCTTTTAGTCTAAGAAAGGAAACAAATATGGATATATTTAATATGAGTAAATAATATATTTTTTTTGAGATTTTTATTTATAAAAAATATATATTACAATAACATTAATAATAGTAACTAAAAGAAAGAAAAGAAAAATAAAATAAATAAAATAAGTCAGGGGGGTTAATAATTAGAAGGAGTGTTTGGAGAAAGAAAGAAAAGGAAATCTGTTTAGGCTTTTAGCCCAAACTTTTATGGCCAAAAATAAAATAAAAACCAGACTTTTAGGGGATGGGGGGGTGTAGCGAGCAGAAGGAGGTTGGGTTTAGTTATTGGGCCTGGTATGAGGGGCCTGGTTGTTTTGAACAAAACAACCAGGTTAATGAGACACGGTCTCATTTGGCCAAATCATTTCTCTCTCTCATTTCTCTGATTCTCTCGCTCTCTCTCTCTCTGTGGTTCCTTCAACGGAGAAGAAACAAAAGCCACACTGGAAATCGCCTCACAGCGGTGACGGCGGCGGCTAGGTTCAAAACTCCATTTGTTTTACATCAACCTCTTCCTATCTTCCTCCTAATCACTAATTTGGTGTTTAATTTTGCAGAAAACGCATGAT